TTGGGCTATCAGTTTGGATATGCCATGATAGTGATATTACTGGAATGCTTCCAAAAATTTCGGCTTCCTGGACTGCTTAGTTTGCAAAAATTTGAAATTAACAGGCAACCTCATTTCGTAAGTTAGTGGACCGTAGTTTTCACGCCAAAACTTTCATCTGCCCCGTATATGAGAACCACGCGTACCTGGAGCTGAACTTGAAATTTTTAATTTACGCGTAGACAGGGAAAATTCCCTTAAAATTTCAGCTTGCTTTCCAGTTTTCCTAGCTTCTAATTTAGCACTTTTTCTACCAGAACTTCACGCGTCACAGGTGGAGCCCATGAATTGATATCACGTCCCCGAGACAGCCCTGGGTCAGAGAAAACACTGGCAAGATTTCAGCGTCAAAGCCTGTCTGGTTGCCGAATTGAAATATCCGGACAGACACAAAACATACACGCACACATACGCACACACACCATGGGTCCTCACAATATGTTTTTTTGTATTTACATAGTTATGCAAAAATCTGTAAAAAGCATTACCAAGAAGGCGTTGCTGCTGTTCCGCTGCGGTTTCAGTCGGAGGCGGTGGAACAACATCAAACTGTGTATCTGGTTTGGAATTCGGATTATCGGCCATTCAGTGTGCTCTCGATGAGCCAACCAGAAATCCTTTTCTTCCTGCTACCGATGCTCTACCAAATAATTCCATGCTGCATACCATCCGCCCTAATTGGTACAGACGCACGTAACTTTTTTGTTTGCCCTTTTTACTTTTGATTAAGCTGAAATTACGAACAAGATGTTAAACAACAACTGCTGGATCGCATTTGCACTGATTCGAAGCTGTGCACAAAGAACAGAGTGGACAAAATCTGAGAATTGAGTAGTGAAACAAAAAGAAAGGGTGCTAGCCTAAGAAGCTCATCCCCGAAACCAGTTCTGCTAACAGACCCAACATCGTCATATAACAACACATGAAACAGGGTGGCAGAGTAGTCGCACGAGGCACAGTTCTTTGCTCTGGGCCGAGGAGAATTCTTATCCGCAAGCGGGAACCAACGTTTATTCGTAAAAATTTAGTACGATATTCTAGCAACACTAGTCTCAAACCAACTCCTACATCGTAAAATGTCCCTCAGCACATGGCACTTAAGACCAATCCTTCCATTCTACTATTTCAGGCTAATTTGCTATGTAATCCTCGAAATCGAAAAGATGACTAGTGCTCACCAACGGTGTTGCTGGCAAAATGCTATCGCCTGGTTCAAAAATGAAATGCAAACGAATACATACATATTTTGAATGTGACGAAGTTGGCTTGGAAACGAAGTCCCAAATTTTTTTTATCAGATACTCAAACTCTTCACAAGCACCAAAGGCAGTTATCGTACTGACGAACAGAAAGCAGGTAAGCAAGCTGGATCTCGAAAAAAATACAGCACATGGGTGTTTGGGACTTTGAGCATAATTATTTGGCATGAGCTTGGCCTATTGCTGCAGCCCATTGTCTTCGAGGACTAATAGATCGGATAATCAAAACACTATTTTAAAGTGATATTTTACGAAAAATAATGAAGATTCGTTCGGAGACAGTGGAAATGGAGTTTGCATTTTAACGTGCGTCAAATGAAGCAACCTAGTGCGATTTCAAAATGCTTAAA